ATGGTCACTGTGAGATTACTAGATTACTGTGATCACTGTGAGATTACTAGATTACTGTGATCACTGTGAGATTACTAGATTACTGTGGTCGATGTGAGATTACTAGATTACTGTGGTCACTGTGAGATTACTAGATTACTGTGGTCGATATGAGATTACTAGATTACTGTGGTCGATGTGAGATTACTAGATTACTGTGAGAATCACCCCCAGGGTTCTCTTGTATTTGTGGCCCTTGCTGCAGTTTAACCTCCATGTTGCTATAAGAGTGAGCCGCTTCCTTTCTTGCTAAAACTAATGGCTTACCACTGGGTGTCATGGGGTCCAAACTCCTTTACTTGGCACACACATTCCTATATAATTATCCCTCCTTTCTTCTCAACCTTGTCTTCTACTCCTCTCTCTACAAACACTATTCAATTTGTCCATGAGCTTCTTGGGTTGCCCTGAACTGACATATTCTCTTGTGCCTTTGTACATTAAAAATGTCGTAGGCCAGGCGCAGTGTCTCACGCCTGTAATCCCAGAACTTTGAGGTGATCAGCTGAGGTGGGCGGATCACCTGGGGTCAGGAGTTTGAGACCAGCCTACCAACATGGAGAAACCCCATCTCTACTAAAAATACAAAATTAGCCGGGCGTGGTGGCGCATGCCTGTAATCCCAGCTACTCGGGAGGCTGAGGCAGGAGAATCGCTTGAACCTGGGAGGCAGAGGTTGCAGTGAGCCAAGATGGCACCAGTGCAGTCTAGCCTGGGCAACAAGAGCAAAACTCTATCTAAAAAAAAAAAAGTTGTAAGTTCTAGGAACGCCCCTTTCCTGTCCAGGGTTACTCCAGCCCATGGTTGCCTTTGTGCAAATTAGAGACCAATTCCTCATCCAGGCAGTCAAATCTATGGGTGCTCAGATTGGTGATAGGTAGCGCCTTTCTGAGACGCAGAAAAAGATACTTCCTTTGTGCTAAAGCAGCCACATGCTGCAGTACAAGTCTTGGTGAGCCGAACACCGGCTCTGATTCTGTTTTCTGGTCCCCTTTGACCTGCTGGGACCCCACTGGGCTGAACAACCCAAATAATGGAGTGTTGTGCTCCTACCTTCTCCTTCTCCCGAAACACTCTCACTTAAGGTTTAGATAGAGAATTTCTGTCTCTGATTAGGTCCATGGTATTTATCCTCTTATTTGGTCATCAGCCCTTTGGGAAATATGAAGAAAGCTGTGGGTCCACTCTCCATGGAAAGAAGCACTCTAGCATCCTTGTAACATGTAGCCTACCCGAAGTTAGAGACCACATTCCCAGCATTATTCAACTTCTTGGCTCTCGTGCCCAGGGTAGAGTCTAACACTTAGTAGGCACTGAGTGGCTGGGGAACTTTTGAGAGCATTTTCTGACAATCCATGTAAGTGCTTTCTCTGTATTCTTACTCTGTTATTTGCAAACGGCTGCCCTCTCCTAACGTATTTAGCATTCTGCCGTCATGGCTTTCTCCTCCGTGTTCCTAACTAGGCTCTGAAATTTTCTAGAATGGGCACTGCTGTCTTCATAGCTGTATTCCCAGCATCTAACACAGTACCAAGCATGTAACAGGCATTTGACATGAATAGGGATTGAATACAATTTTTCAACTACTCTAGAAATACCACTACTACTACTACTACTTTCTACTATTACTACTACTTCTACCACCACTACTACTACTACTTCTACTACTACTTCTACTACCACTACTACTACTTCTACTACTACTACCACTACTACTACTACTTCTACTACTACTACTACCACTACTACTACTACTACTTCTACTACTACTACTACTACCACTTCTACTACTACTACCACTACTTCTTCTACTACTTTCTACTACTACTTCTAATTTCTACTACTACTACTACCACCACTACTACTACTTCATCTACTACTTTCTACTACTACTTCTACTACTACTACTTCTACTCCTCCTCCTCCTCCTACTACTTCTACTACTACTACTACTACCACTACTACTACTACTACTACCACTACTACTACTACTTCTACTACTACTACTACCACTACTACTACTTCTACTACTTTCTACTACTACTTCTACTTTCTACTACTACTACTTCTACTACTACTACCACCACTACTACTACTACTTCATCTACTTTCTACTACTACTACTACTTCTACTACTTCTACTACTCCTAATACTCCTCTTCCTTCTACTACTACTACTTCTACTCCTCCTCCTCCTACTACTACTTCTACTACTACTACTTCATCTACTACTTTATACTACTACTTCTACTACTACTACTACTTCTACTACTACCACTAGCACCACTACTACTACTTCATCTACTACTTTCTACTACTACTTCTACTACTCCTACTACTCCTCTTCCTTCTACTACTACTACTTCTACTCCTCCTCCTCCTCCTCCTACTACTACTACTAGCACTGCTACTACTATACTTCTACTACTACTACTTCTACTGCTACTACTACTACTACTTTCTACTACTACCACTGCTACTTCTACTTTCTACTACTACCACTACTACTACTACTACTTCTACTACTTACTACTACTACTTTCTACTACTACTACTTCTACTACCACTACTACTTCTACTACCACTACTACTTCTACTACTTTCTACTACTACTAATACTACTACTTCTACCACTACTGCTATTACTTCTACTACTTTCTACTACTACTACTACTTGTACTACTACCACCACTACTACTACTTCATCTACTACTTTCTACTACTACTGCTACTACCACTACTACTACTACTACTTCTACTACTTTCTACTACTACTACTTCTACTACCACCACTACTACTACTACTTCTACTACTTCTATTACTACTACTACTACTACTACCACTACTACTACTACTACTTCTACTCCTCCTCCTCCTACTACTACTACTTCTACTACTACTTTCTAGTCCTCCTCCTACTACTACTACTTCTACTCCTACTCCTACTCCTACTCCTCCTACTACTACTACTTCTACTACTACTGTCTACTCCTCCTCCTCCTACTACTACTTCTACTCCTCCTCCTCCTCCTCCTACTACTTCTACTTTCTACTACTACTACTACTTCTACTACTACCACCACTACTACTACTTCATCTACTACTTTCTACTACTACTGCTACTACCACTACTACTACTACTACTACCACTTTTCCCCCAAAATACTTCTTTGTAAATTATCAACTTCTGCTGAGGCATAAACAGACTTTTTTTTTAAGATGAAGTTTTGTTCTTGTTGCCCAGGCTGGAAGTGCAATGCCACAATCTTGGCTCACTGTAACCTCTGCTTCCTGGGTTCAAATGATTCTGTTGCCTCAACTCCCTAGTAGCTGGGATTACAGGTGCCAGCCAGCATGCTCAGCTAATTTTTGTATTTTTAGTAGAGACAAGGTTTCACCATATTGACCAGGCTGGTCTTGAACGCCTGACCTCAGGTGATCCACCCGCCTTGGCCTCCCAAAGTGCTCGTATAACAGGTGTGAGTTACTGCACCTGGCCATAAACAGACTTTTGCTGGATAGAATTTAGCTACTGTGTGACTGTTTGTGAGTTGGAATCTATTAGTGAAAAGGTTAAAAGCAATGGTCTCAATTTCTGACCTCGCTAAGGGAAGCCAGCCCTTTGTCTCTAGCTGTTTTTGTGGCGTTCTCACTGTTCTCTGAGTAGCGTTCTGAATACTGCTTGCTTGCTGTCTTTTACCCTTTGAGATCCACCACTACCCCCCTCCCAGTCCCTACCCTGGAAGGCAGGGAACTCTTAACAATGGAATGCTTTTGCACTCTTGAGTCAGGATTTTTTCCTAGACGAGAAGTATGTTTATTTGGTTTTACAATTTTCCATTAGTTTGCCTCCTAGAATTCTGTTTCATTAATAATCCAGTTGCTTGCCTTATAATTGATTCTCTTTGTAGGACGTTTCCTTTAGTTTTTTCTGAAACCGAAATCATCATTCATTTTGCCTTTCAAAATGGGACTAGTAATTAGCTGCAAGTGAATGAAGACTTTCGTGGAAATGAAGAATACAAGCACTGTTTTCCTTTGTTTGAAAGATAGAACCAGACTTATACTTGGGCTTGAAAGTGATGATTTCCATTATTCCCCTTTCACAGGTCCTCTTCTGGGCAAATTCGTTTTTTATTAAAGCAAACCCAGCTGCTTACTGTCTCTCTTGGATTCACTTAAAGCTTCATGATCCTCCTGGGTTGTAGAACGTGTTTCAACTCCCCATCAAATTTTGTTGTCTAGGAATTTTACTTGTTTTTCATAGGTCATAGCAAGTTAAAAAATGACAGTGTGTCATGGTGAGCAAAAAGCAAATGTTCCTGGGTTATTTAAATTGGATTAAAATATGCCAGTGCCATGGTGACAGTAATATCAAATACGAAGCCCTTTATCTCTAGGCTCTCCACACAGCTAATTAAAAAAAAGAACTACTTTCTATTCAAGTGGATGGGTTTTTTTAAACGACATGTGCTGTTCAGTCCCTCAACGGCTTTAAGTATCTGATTCTAAGTCAGAAGGGAGTTGGGTTGTCTTATTGAAAATCTCTTCCCGAATACTTTAGTAGAATTTGGGTGTATATATAAATTTTGCATGAGCTATTTAACCATTTATTATCATTTTAATTTAACATGCTTGGTATGGAAATTTCATGTTTTCATGAAAACATTTTGAAAGCACTGCTTAAAAAGTAGATGTTGCTATTGTTGGAACTAAAGAATAAAAGTGGGAAATACTGGCTTTGTGATTATACCCGTCAAGTTGGGAGAGGGGAGCTATGGAAAGGACTTGGAGCTCCTGGCTGAGGGCGCAGTACCCGTGGGTCTGACCAGGAGTACCATTTGGAGCCTCTAGCAGGATACTGTATGAGACTATCAAAGCCACTCGAACCTTGGGAGTTGGGCCTTGGGTAATTTTAAAGCATCTTTAATAAGTTTTGTTTTGATATTTGCTGTTTCAGAGCAATAGACTGGAGGAGAAAAGAAGGCTTGAAGAGAACCGTAGAAGAGAAGCATTTAGAGAGCATCAGCAACAGTAAGTTGATGTTTTCAGAACTTTGTACCTTTATAGGCAGATTGTCATACAGGTTTTAAATTCAGGTGGTGGTAACTTGTAAAAACATCTGGTACTGGATCATTGGCTGTTATATTAATTATGGAATAGAACTCTTGTCACCATGTAAGTGAGAATCTAAGGTGGGCGACATGTCTACTCGCAACATTTGAGAAATAACACTACATTTGAGAAATTCCCCGTTATAAATAACTTGGAAGACTCGATCCTTTGGCGATCCAAGGTACTTCTGCTTATGTTGACTTCCAAGATAACAATACAAGGATTGGGGTATATGCACTGAAGTGCCTGAGCAGAATCTAAACTGACCAGGGGTTTATCTAATGGACTGAGGACTACTACCTACTTGTATTTTTTTCTAGACAAGAACTAAGAAATCATTTAGTAGTTATTGGCAAAACTCTCAACTGATGGTCATACATCAAGGTAATTTGCAGTATGATTTGTGAACAACAGCAGCCAGTAGATGTAGGGCACCTGTTACATGCTTTATAATGCATCCACTTTGTTATGTAGGCTTTAAGGGTAAGTTCATGTCCTAACTCCTGGTAGCCCAGTTACCTGCACACTGATTAAAAAACAAAACCAAAGAATTTTCTTTCTGGTTCTACAGTAATTCTAAATGTGGTAGAAATAGAACCAAGCAGATCTGGGTTCAAAGTCTTAGCTCCCACTAAAACTCTTTGAATGTCAGTGGTTTTTTTCTTAAATAGAGATAAGATCTTTCTCATATGCCATTTGCAAGAATTAAATAAAATATGTAAATGACACAAAAGTGCCTATTATAGGCACTTGAAATGATCCTTCTTACAGAGGCCCTTATTGAATGGGATCATACAACTTTTATTTTATGGAGGCTGAACACAGATTTCTGGTCCCACCAGAACCGGTAATGGGCCCTCCACTTTCATATGAAATGTTCACTGACTGCCTTGTTTTCTCTTGCTTCACTCTTGTCCCTTGTTTGCAGAATTTAAGATCATTCAGATACTGGGGCGAGCATATTTGTGACACCCTCCAACATATTCCTCCTCTAAGCACAATGTTCTCTGATTTCTCATGCCATTAGAATGATCTTGCCTCTATCGTAAACAGCTTAGCTCCTTCTTGCCTTAAGATTCAGAGGCAGGAATGGAAGAGAAGTTTCTCAACCCTCTGCTTTGTTCCTTAGCAAGTTAGGTGCTATGCCTCTGCTACCCAGGCCAGAAAATAGATGGGAGATGGGATGGGGTGGGATGGAAGTGTTGATAAGTGATGTCATCCTCCTTAGCTGAAAGGAGCATCACTCTCATTTCCATCGCAGAATCTGGAGCCTGTCTCTCCCCACTCTTCTTCTCAGGCAGGCATGGGAATGAGGATCTGGTAGGAAGCTATGGAGCAAAGCACCAGCAGAAACTGTCTGTCTTGCAGAGAAATATGGTGGGAGGGAGGCACTAGATGAAGGATGTGAATGTATCATTGTCTCCCCTTTCATGGGTAGAGAATGAATGAGAATTTATTTTTAGGCTCAGCCTGAAGAATTGAGAGCGATTAGGGGCTGGGCTGGGGGCTTTAGTAGCCTAGAGTCAAAGGAGAACAAATGTCGTTGTCCTGTGAGACTAGTATGTCCTATGGCATACTCGTTTTACATCGGAAGAGGGAAGTCCTACTTAGCAGTGAGGGGCCTGGGGTACAGAACTGGATAGTTGAATGGGTTCCTTCTCTGGAGAGCTCTAAATATGGCCAAGTGAAGGGTAAGAGACTCTTGAAGTTTTAATAGATATTGGAAGTTGTGCACCCAACCTCCTTTCTTTTATAGTTCCAGCTTCTTGAGTTTGTGTTTTACTAAATACAGAAGATCAGTCACCCTTTTTTTGTAAAGAAAAAAAGTTTGCCCTCAGCCACCCGGCCTACTATCAGTGGAGCTGAATTCAATTACACGCACATTTCATTCTTGCTCTTTCTTCTGCTTATTGTAAAAGTCCCAGTTAACCAGGAAAAAGGGCGCTTGGCTAAAAATGAGAAGTATCTCAAATTGATTTTTAAAGCCTATTGAGAAACACGAGAAGAGGTATATGTGTGAGGTTCTTTTTTGAAAGAGTATTATGTTTTGAATTACTTTTGAAATTAAAAGACCAATAGCTCATGAAATGAGCAGGCATTATTTAGTTAGAAATATAAAAGAGATTTAGAAAAGATGGATCCTGTATATGACAAGTCTTTTTTTTTGTCTTTTTGTCTTTTTTTTTTTTTTTTAAGACGGGGTTTCACCATGTTGGTCAGGCTGGACTTGAACTCCCGACCTCAGGTGATCCGCCCACCTTGGCCTCCAAAGTGCTTGGATTACAGGCGTGAGCCACCACGCCTGGCTGTGACAAGTCTTTATCATACCTTCTTATAATCAGTTTATGGTGGGAAAAATGTCTAGGAAAGCTCTTTGGATTTTTTTTTTTTTTTTTTTTTGAGATTGAGTCTCAGTCTGTTGCCTAGGCTGGAGTGCAAAGGCACGATCTTGGCTCACAGCAACCTCTGCCTCCTGGGTTCGAGTGATTCTTCTGCCTCAGCTTCCTGAGTAGCTGGGATTACAGGTGCCTGCCACCACACACGGCTAATTTTTGTATTTTTAGTGGAGGTGGGGTTTCACCACATTGGCGTGGTCTCAAACTCCTGAAGTCTCGAACTCCTGACGTCAGATGATCCACCTGCCTCGGCCTCCCAAAGTCCTGGGATTACAGGCGTGAGCCACCGCGCCCAGCCAGCCCTCTGGATTTTTAACAGCACAGAGGTTTTGCCAGACCAACCAGACTGCCTACCCCCACCTCCCAAATTAGATTCTCCTGAAACTGTCAATGAAGGAATACAAAATAGAAACATACATAAGAACTTCGTTCAAGCCAGTCAATACTTGGCTAGGTTCACTGTGCTGCAATGTCTGATACTCATAGCAGACCAGGAATGATATTATTATTATTATTTTTTTTTTTTTTTTTTTTGAGACGGAGTTTCGCTCTTGTTACCCAGGCTGGAGTGCAATGGCGCAATCTCGACTCACTGCAACCTCCGCCTCCTGGGTTCAGGCAATTCTCCTGCCTCAGCCTCCTGAGTAGCTGGGATTACAGGCGCGCACCACCATGCCCAGCTAAGTTTTTGTATTTTTAGTAGAGACGGGGTTTCACCATGTTGACCAGGATGGTCTCGATCTCTTGACTCGTGATCCACCCGCCTCGGCCTCCCAAAGTGCTGGGATTACAGGTGTGAGCCACCGCGCCCGGCCTATTTTCATTATTATTATTATTTTTTTTTTTTTTGGTAGAGAAGGGCAACCATGGACTTGAGCAGACTGTAAATCCAAGTTGCTGGAGAAAAAGCTCATGATAGCAACCTGGGGCACCACCATGAGAATCTTAATCTTAACACCCTGTCCTGACTTCATTCATTTGCTTCTGATTATTTTTAGTGTTGTCAATTATTTAGCTAACAGGCAGAAAACTAGGCTTTTATTGACATCCAAAGGGACTCTCCTGAGTGTAATAATGAAGGCAGTTTATCGAATGCCTGTGAGGTTGCTTTCTAATTGTACGCATTAATCTGCCCGTGCAAGCTGGCTGGAAATACACAAGCAGATTGCACATGCAGATGGAGCACACAGGATGGTTTTTATGGAAAGACCTCTGGATTGTACTTTTGCAGTACTGTCTTTTCCTTAAAAATCGAATGACTGTGACTGTTTCAATGAGCAGCTGAGAGGAGAACAGATTAATGGTACATTAAGTCTGCTACTCTGGCTGGGGACAGACTCCAATTTTACAATTTGGAATTAGTTCTAGGATTCTCGAGCCTGAAAACAGAGGGTGGGAATCAGCAGTTAGCCTTGGTCTAAGTTTTGAGGTTCTTTTTAGTCTCCATAAGAATTTATTACTTATAACAATTCATTTATGATACCTTTGGGTGGCCTTTTCAATTAAATGGAACATGTGAAAAAACAGTTGATAAACCATTTTTTAAAAACCATTATAGGATGAATTTGTTCAAACGTCTCTAAGCATGATACATGTCTATACTTAACAACTGCATTGAAGGCAGAAGGAAGGAAGGAAGGAGGGAATGGTTCAAGGTCATATTTAGAATCCACCTGAGATTCTAATCAATGTCACGTGTGTGCGATTTTATTCAACAGTGCTGTGTGCATATTGGTTAGTTCTTATACGAAATATCTACTCTTTCTGTATACTTAGAAGTGCTTGGTATATTTAAAAGTGGAACTAATAGAATAATACTTTTTGTAATTAGCTTTTAAAAATGAATGGGAAATAACTATCTTTGGAAGTGGAATCATTAAACCACCTCTGTGAACAAACTCTACTTGTTTGTCGGGTTGAGGGAGGTGGGAGGGAAGAAGTTGCAAAAGGTGTTTTGCTTTGCTAGTACATACTAGGAAATGTCAGCTTATCCATTGCCCTGCATGACATGTACATGGCATTTAACTTCACTGTACTTTATGTATTGTGTACGTACTGCACAAATGGGTTCTTATTTTATATCTGGTCTCTACAGATACAAAATCTGTATTATTTTTTATTTTATTTATTTATTTCTTTTTTGAGACAGAGTTTCGCTCTTGTTACCCAGGCTGGAGTGCGATGGCGAGATCTCAACTCACCGCAACCTCCGCCTCCTGGGTTCAGGCAATTCTCCTGCCTCAGCCTCCCGAGTAGCTGGGATTATAGGCACGTGCCACCATGCCCAGCTAATTTTTGTATTTTTAGTAGAGACGGGGTTTCACCATGTTGACCGGGATGGTCTCGATCTCTTGACCTCGTGATCCACCCACTTCGGCCTCCCAAAGTGCTGGGATTACAGGCGTGAGTCACCGCGCCCAGCCCCGAAAAACTTATTTGAAACAGCTGGTCTTTTGAGATGTTTAAAAATACACAACGTGTTAAAAGTAGAAGACTAAAGTAACAACCATTAGGTACTTTTTT